AGCTTGGTTATTAGTTTTCAATTGCAGTAATAAGTGCTACCAAATAAACACCTCGATAGTATAGGCACATAATAATTCCGTTTGAGGAGTGAAATCGTTGTGAAGTGGTATTTGAAATGTTACAAGAAAATTCTGGAGGGAAAAATGTATAAGGAATTATACTAAGCATCGATGATTTAAATTTTTATAGTCGCACAGTTTACATCTGGAAAAACCAATTAAAAAGTAAACCCATCATGCTATTTATCGTAATTCTAATATATTTCATTAAGAATGAAAAAGGTATAATTTTTAAACATCTATTTGAAATTTTGTCGTATCACACAACATTCGTTCAAAAACAACCCCATAAACATGATATCCTTTTTTGCAGAAGGAAAAAACATACTTTAATAAATTCACATCAAGCTAAGTTGAAGAAAATGATAAAACAAGAAAGAGACCGGGGCCACGAACTTTAAACTAAAAGCATATAAACAAATTTGGTTCTTGACGCAAAATATTCGCGTAGTAAATTAAAAAACCTAAAAATGTCATCAAAAGATTACCATCCATTTTGTAAAATCGTAATACAGCATCGCAGCTTTGACAAATACTTTCGTCAACGCTTAATCATTCTAATCACAACAGAATGTTCACGATCGATCAATCTTAATTCCTTAAGACCCTCGGAAAGCCGCCGCAAGCGATCAAACAACAGTCACAATTCGACGAAAATGGAATCCTAGGGGACAGTTTGGCTAAGATCTCACGAACCAACCACGATCCAATGTAACAAAATTGCCCGTCTTACAGCGTATTTTGGTGAAACGGCTGTCGCCTAACGCGACAGAGGTCTTTAACACTCTACTGTCGAGACACTGTTTTTGAGACGTAAAGTCCAATATGGAGTCTACGAAACTCCTCAACTTCCAGTTAGTTTATACATAAACATAGAACATTTCTGACAACTTTTCTTACCGATTTACCTTCATTACACATTTTCCTAACGAACATTATAGAATAGAGTGGTTGGTTGTATCAATTTCATTTTAACACAGCAACGTTCAGTTCTAAATAGAATGGAAGAAAAGAGAAAAGTCTCGGAGACTCCGCCTCGACGAGGAAAGGGTTAAACGAGCGGTTTTCAAGAAGCTCGTTGGACATGAAAGCCGAATGATGATCGATTTTTTTCGCGGCTGGCGATCATCCAACAGGTTCGGTGGCTGTCGAGGACGACGCTCGCTCCACCAGCGGTCCACTATATTTAAATATAGTCGAAGATCGTCGTAGAGAGGATGGACGAGCAGCGGCTAGTCTTATGTGCGAGCTACTGATAGCAGCCGCTCCTCTCGGTGGAGCAGCAGCAGTAGTAGTGGTTCTGACAAGCAAAGTGATCGAGAAGCAAAGTTGCACGTCGAAGAGGTGTCGACGATCCCGTGGCCGTACTGGCCGATCTCGTTCCCAGTGACACCGTGTGCATCCCGGGCAAAATCTTCAGCTGAAAGGACGACGAACGTTGTGGCCCGTGGCCGCATCTCGTGCAACGGGCTTCCTTTCTACACCGTACAACACCTACGTTCCGAGATATGACGTCCACTTGTTTCTCCCCCGAGCCAATTCGACCACCGATCGACCTCAACGATCAATCTGACACAGTCAAGGTGGAGTGTGGTTTTGCTTAATACAACACACCCTGTTCCTCATTAATAACTGTGTTGAAATTACGCGTTAGCGATATCATCCTTAGAACGATACTCGTTTGCTCGATTAAGCTAGACGAGAGGACATGATCCGATGAGATGGACACCAATCGAGGCGACGATGGACCAGAGATTAGTTGTGATTTTCTCGTTGTTTTTGTTAATTATTCTTCGTGGACAACGTTCTGATGAAATCCACGGGCCGATTAGTCTGGCTGATCCCGAAGGCGCGTACATATGTGTGGGCGGGCAGACTTGTTGCACAAGCAACTTGGCGTGGTAGAAACGTCGCGCAACAGTAGATAGGAAAAGCGGGAACGAAGGTGTTTGGGACGATGCTGTTTGCTTTGCCTCTTCCAGGAGAGCGATCGCGTGATACACCAGCTAGGAGACGTTCCAATGGTCTCCTCGTCTCGCATCTTTCCCTTCTTCTTCTTCTCTCCCCCTTTATTGTGTCTGGTGTGCTGCACCTATGCAATATCCCGATCGCACGCCGCCACTTGCTATACTTAGATTTGCACTTGGCATTCCGTTATGTAACAGCAACAAGTATACGCCGGATTTCACGTGCGCAAACGTGTGTGTTTTACAGGGTACCGACCTGATCAAAGTGTCGAGGTTTTATAAGGACAGCAAGGAGGGAAAGTTCGTGAGCTTCATACACGAGGACACGACGACCCTGTACGAAGGTTTCCGCAATGGCGCCAAAGAGTCCAGTAAGTCTGAAAACACGGTATCGAATCACGCCAAGTAGCCAAGTAGCAGAGAGAGAGAGAGGAGATTCGGTGTCGTGTCTCTCTCTCTCTCTTCTTGAGAGAGTTCGCGTTTTAAATAAACGAGCGCGAGGACCGAGCATAATGCACCGTTTGGCAAGTGGCTATACACGGTCACGTTTGAATGACAAACGCGACCGTCTAATAAGCATCACCGCCACTCACCCGGTTCTTTCGTTCGTTCGTTCGTTTGTGTCGATTTATCTCGTGACCACGTCGAACCGACGAGCACCACAGTCGCGATGTTATTTCATGCGCGGTATTGTATTTTTAACCCGCGACCGAACCCACGCGTCAAGACACCTGTCGTGCACGCAAGGGAACATTCTGAAGTGGCAATCACCAATTTTTATGACATTTTTCGTGTATGGTGGTGCTTGAGAGAATATTCGATACGTGGTTTTTTTTTTGGAACGGTGATCGTTCACTGTGAAGGGGTGGAAATCGCCTGCAATGTTGTGGGAGTAAACATGATTGGTGCGATATCTAGGGAATTATTGGAGATAGAGGAATAGTGTGAGCCGATGAATTTTCAAATTTCTCGTTGAAAAGTAGAAAATGATAAATAATTTGGAAGAAATTTTGAGGACGATTTTCACCCCTTTCACCCCAATATTTTTTTGAGTGCTATCGTATGTCAAAGTTTCATCAATATGGGCGATTATTGCTTGGGGATGTTCTCTTGTCAGGGACGAAGAAATAGTTGTGGTGCTGGTTAGAGAATCGTTGTTCGCGTGTTCAGTCGTTAATCTGCTCTGGTGAGTGAGGAAACGGGAAATTTGAAGGGGAAGTGGTTCATTGGCGTGTTGAGAGTTATGCACAGGATGAGGTGTGTAAAAAGGGTGTGCTTTCGAGGAGATCCAACAGCTGGTTCCTCGGGAATATTTATGATTTTTGGAAAAATCAATCTGGAGATTGGAAGAAAACATTCGGCAGAAAATTTCATTCCAATCCACATTTTTTATTAACAATTTAAATTAGATTTGTAAAATCGTGCGCTGCAAAAAATGCACATTGGAATGAAATATTGTACAGAATGCATTTTTCGACCTCCAGATTCATCCCTCCAAATTTTCTTGTTAGGTTATTGTGTCGCTTTTAGAGATATTTGAAGTATCAAATGAAGACTGATAATTTTTCTGTGTTTTTCTTCTTTTTTTTTTTTTATTTAAATATTTGGGACCTCAGACTAGGTCCATTTACTATTCCAATAATTTATTTAAACGGGTAAATGTAACGAGAAGTAGAACAATTTAAAATTTGTTATGATTATGTACTAATAGTGGAAGAAAATATATGCGTGGTTAATAGCCGTAATGTGTTCTCGTTATAGAATTGCGTTTAACGGTCTATAAATTTTGCATCTTTTAAAAACACAAATGCCTTTGTCCCGAAAACATAACGAATGACAGTGAGATATATTTCACTGAGAGTTTGTGTAGGAGAAATATATAGCTTGTGATGTAATTCAATTCATCTTATCTTGTTTGTTGGCCAAACAAAAATGCGACGTTACCACATTTTTCTTTTCGAATTATGCTTTATTTCTAATTGTATCTGCGTATTTTGGAGAATTTGAGAGGGTACGAACGAACCCTCTTTTATACGCTTTATCCTGTATATACGTGATTTTTGGCAATTTTTAACAAGAATCTTTAACGACAAACAAATTCATCTACATTTCTTTCTATTTTCACTAAGTTCATTATTATTAGGAAATTTTGAAAAGGGGTAAATTGTAGTATAGTTTTAACATACGATTATGGCAAATATGATTTGCTCTGAAAGGAAAATCTTCTCAATTTGGAAATATCGGAAAATTTCCGTACCATTTTTGTCATTTTTATTTTGAGAATTCTCATAACTGTTAATTTTCGAAAAGTGAACCCAAATCATCGTAAAATGAAGTTTGCAAATGCTAAAAACGCATGTACTGGGTGGGCCATTTAATTATCTTCTTTAATTATGGTAGAACGAGAAAATTTTTATACGTAATTTAAATGGCTTCAAAGTTTGAATAAGAAGGAGGAAGAATTTTTTTTGTTTTTCTTTCAAAGTCACTTGTTGTTTTTTTACACGAATGTATATATTGTTTCTACTATTATTTTCTGTATATTGTAGCAAACATTAATGTGCATTTAAACATACAGAATAATACGATCTTGAATTTAAAAATTTTCAATCGAATGTAAAATTTACCATTAAATTTACTCTTCTACGTTTCACATGGCCCACCTTGTACAACGTTTCGCCAAAGTATCCAATACCAGAACGTCTAAATCTCCCGAAGGAAATCTCACCTCCCATTAACGTAAAACAAAATCTTCATTCAAAAGACTATAAATCATATCTCCGAACGAAGATATTTCCGCCAGACGCGATTACGCTCTCATGCCCATCGTACAAATTCTCATCCATCAAAACTGGCCTCTCCGTGCGACGTCATTATCCTTTTCGCACTTCGACACCATCTCTAGTTCCCCTCTCAAATTACCATTCACCAA